AAAATGTCGACGCATGCGGTCCAGAGTGGTTCGAGACGGAATGGCCTACTATCCTGTGAGTTCCGTAGTGGTACAGTTCTTAGAAAATGTGTACTGTTTTCGAGTTCAAAAAAATGTCGGTCAGTCAAACAGCTTCACACGATGCACGGGCAAACACTGGAGGGGCTACAACAAGACTCGGATGGCCTCGTGGCAGCCAGCTCACCCGCAAAAAAAGAGTCGGGAATTGCTGACTAGGCAAAAGAGGAAACAGCTTGGGCGGGAACTTCCCAGGATTTACGTCAGCAGGCCCGACAGCTCCAAGGCCGTGGCGGGTTCAGCGGGCTTCCGTAAACATGGGAAATCACGTGCAAACATTGGTGGAAATGGAAAGGGGCGCTAAAACCCGCTACAGAAACATCCACAATTACAAACAGCGTTGTACCTGACGAACACGTATGATCTGACGGACACCATAAAAATTGGATTGCACACCTGCCCACAACTGGCGCTTGCACTCTCAACCCAGAAATAACTCCAGTCCCAAAATGTCGTTCGAATATGGTTGACAAGGGTAGAGCACAGAAGCATGCCACAAGAAGCATCTGCATACCATATAAGCTCAACTAAAATACCCAAGGGTTTTATCATGACTAGAGAGAGAGAGAGAGAGAGAGAGAGAGAGAGAGAGAGAGAGAGAGAGAGAGAGAGAGAGAGAGAGAGAGAGAGAGAGAGAGAGAGAGAGAGAGAGAGAGAGAGAGAAGAGAGAGAGAGAGAGAGAGAGAAAGAGAGAGAGAGAGAGAGAGAGAGAGAGAGAGAGAGAGAGAGAGAGAGAGAGAGAGAGAGAGAGAGAAGAGAGAGAGAGAGAGAGAGAGAGAGAGAGAGTTTACAGGGATATATAGCCTAGAGTGTTGTACCCTCAACAGCACAAACCAATATTGTATATACTAACATACTTAGATATGTTTGACACACCCCCTAGACGATATAGGGGCAGTGCCTAACAGGGCAACAAGAAGCTCAGGGCGGCACTACTACTCCAGCCTCTGAGGCAAGGGTCTAAAGACCAGTCAAAGGAGTACAGACACAACAAGAACAAGACCAGGGAGGCACTACTACTCCAACCACTGGGAGGGGCCACAAGGCCAGTCGGGATAACACATACATATAAAGGTCTATACACAATCAAGGCCCTAACATCTGAAAGGCAACATGAACAAGACCTAGCTGTATACAATACCGCTGATGATCTTTAGGCGCAAGCGCCTTCGTAAAGATATCAGCTGTGTTGGCACCGGAGGCCAAGTGTACTACACGGCCCTGGCGACGCAGCTGTAGCTCGCGCAGGAGGAAGTACCGTAACTGGATGTGCTTCGCTCTACCCTCAAGTCGAGGCTCCTGACACAGGAAGATCATGGCCCTGTTGTCAGCGTACAGGACCGGGGCAGAACTAGGCCGCTCACCTAAGTCGGTGAGCAAGAAGGTCAGCCAATAGAGCTCCTGTGCCGCCATGGCACCGGCGTAGATCTCGGCCTCACAACTGGACTGGGAAACAGACAAGGAGCGAGTAGCTCGCCATGAGACAGCACCTGAACCAAGGCTAAAGCAGTAGCCCTGCGAGGACCTAAGGGTCTCGGCGTCGTCTACCCACGAAGTGTCTGTGTGCCCAGCAAGGACCACTGGCATGCGCCCTCCTAGCACCAACCCCATGCCTGATGTACTTGCAAGATAGCTCAAAACCCTCTTAGCAGCAGACCAGTGCTGAGGTCGATGTCTGCCTGTGGCCACAAAATGAGCCAAGATGCTGAGAGGGTATGCGAGATCTGGGCGAGTGCAAGTCATCAGATACTTGAGGCAACCCATCAGCTGTCACATGATCGAATGTGTCGAGGAAAGGTTTGCTCAATGTTGCACTATCAATCAGTACAAGGTGCATTTATACTTCCAGAGTACATCAGGTAACCAGGTTTATCATATCCAAAGGGAATACACCCTTCTAGAAATAGAATCACCCTGCGTATAGCCACGCGAGGCTATTGGCTTTAAGGGATTACGGCAGGATTACGCTAGATATAGCGGGCCAGTACATCCCGAGCCTGGTCGGTGATATAATGATAATAACAAGATAAACCAAATGATAATGGAAAATGAGGAATAGGAAACCAAAATAGATGAGATAAAGACCAAATGAGTCAGGATAAAAAGAGGAATGAAATGGAGAGGAAATATGAAAATGGGAAATTGGTGTAACGGTGTCGTACTCTCACACTTCCCCCCCTCAAAGCTGGGTGGTAGAAGTAACACCCTACTTGACAAGGTAGTCGCAAAGAGGACGACGGGCGTTACCCATGTCGAATTCAGAGACACAGCCTCAGAAGTATCATAACCCTTCCAGCAAAGTAGAAGTTCCAGAGTGCCATTTTGACGACGACGGTGTCCGAGCACGTAGTTGTCCCATGGCGTGGATGAACATGGGTGGCGATGGTGGTTGGCATTCGTTGTAGAGCGTGTTTGGTCTTGATATGGTTTAAGAAGCTGGTATGGAAGGTGTTATGGATCTTCCAAGTGGCTGGTAAGCGGAAGCGGAAGTTGAATGAAGTGACATTTGCTTCAAAGGGGATAGTCCCGCAGAAGCAAGGTTGAAGCTTGGATGGAAGTTGGCTGATGTCGAGATTATGGTGTGGATAACTGTGGTGATGAGTAGCCAGGTGCTTTTGCTGCTGTTGGATGTCCAAGTGGCGTGTCCGGTGTTAGAGCTGATGGACAACGGAGATGAAATGGATTTGTCGGGTGTTGTGGTGTGAGCGGGTTGCGTCTGTAGGTGGTACACGGATGGCATTGATCGTGATTGAGATATTGTAGCAGAGGGGTAGATGCACTGTCCTTTTCGATGGGTGCTCTAGCTGGCACACTGTAGCATGCGTTGAGTCTCGGGTAGCACATCCCGGTGTTTCTCGCATCCCGTTCATGTATGAAGTTGACTAAGTGTTGGTGGTGTGGCAGTCGTGTCATAGTGCTGCTTCTGTAGCAGCGTTGTATCTGATACATGCAGCTTCTGTTGAATGCTGGTCCATGCCATAGTGTTCTCGCGAATCGTACCCACTCGACATCGTAGTGCTGCGGGAATGGATGGAGAGCAGAATCACTAGTAGTAACTCTGTCCACCACGCGGTCTGCTAGTCACACTGCCTTGAGTACAACAACGCATGCGAAATGCTGCTCACTGTATTCCTAATGTTGAGAACCATGCGAGGGGCTGGTACCACAAACGCGGAGCTGGTAACTTCCAGAATCGGCGCCAAAGTAGTTTCTCTCGGTGGTTGCTCAAGCAAGGAATCTCTGTTGTGTAGATATCCTCTTGTGATGGGTTAGGAGATCTGGGAATGCTAGGGGTATTCCCAAATAATCCTCTCCCATTTCCAAGTGGGCATTGCTGACAACCAATCATGTATGACCTTATGCACTTCCAGTTTAGCACGGAGGCCATCGGTAGGCATCGGTGTCTGGGCGCACATATTGGGATAAGTCTTCTGGTGCCATCATGTGTTGTCTCATTGTGTCACTGTCCTTGAAGTATCGTTGATGTCGAAGACGTCTCAGCTACTCAGTATCAATGTTGAAGTCTGCTCCATTTCGGCAAACAAGGGTGTTGTTGGAGATACGCGGAGTCCACTATCCGGAGTGGCGTCGGCGCTCCATTCCACGCCTATCTGCTTCCATGGAGTTGGTGCTGGTGATGGATTGGTTGCGACACAAGTTTTATGACTTTAAAGAAAGCCATAGGCCATGGGGACTTGTATACCGGTAGAGTACCGTAGTCCTCCCATCCTCATAAGAGCAAATACCTCCTGCTCTTGAGGGTATATGGCATTGCCATGTTGTTTCCTCGCATAGTGGTATCTCCTTCCCACTAGCTGGAAATTAATGTTGTGCCTGACCAGGACTTGACGATCCACTGGAATATAATCCAGCATTATCTCCATTGAGTGGAGAATCATCCATCAGGGTTTGGATATGACTGTTGTGTCGAGTCTTCTGCTGCGGCGGCGGCGGCGGCGGTTGCGACGATGGCGACGGCGGCAGCTGCTGCAGAGAATTCTCTCAACTTATACCGGTTGAAGGAGAATCCATCAACTCCCACTTCCCAGTAGAGTGTTCCTGATGGGTGTAACAGGCGTAACTACTAGGAACACGTGCACATTAGTACACATGTCTTGCTCCATTGCTGCCAGTGATTGTTTCATTTGAGGATGTGAAGAGAAATTTGCTTCTCCCCTCAATGTATCCACGGGTAGCAATTCCTAGTATGCTCATCTGTGCCTCCGATCTACGGTCGGTAGAGCGTGTGATCGTGTTGTAGTAGTCCGCGTCTCCCTCATTTGTTGACATCTCATGTTGCTTGGCATTCTCCTGCATCGTTGAAATTACGCTGATGCTTGTAACGCTTCGACTTCTGGTAGAATTGCCTCCAATGCATGTGCCGTAGGGTCGCTAGTGAACGAGTACTTGCCGGATTAGAGGTTAATTACTCCTCAATCTGTCAAGCATCGTGACATGCACGGAAACATTTCCACGCAGGTCATTAACACCTGGAATCGCGACGCATGATTGGTGTGTCGTCTCGTGAGGTTGATGTTGAGACTGCTCCAATCAATCACTTCTGATGGCTGAGATTCTTGATGAAGACGAATCAGTCAGCTCCTGTTACAAAGTAGTGTCTCGCTGGCCTTGACGAGACAGGTTCACTACGTCGTCGTTGCGTGCGAAATCTGCTCCTTCGCAGCAACTTGATGTTGGGAATATTGCAAGAGAAAACAGTTACTTCTCTGCAATCCCATAGCTTGTCGATCCAATTTTTGAGATGAAGTGACTCATGGATGGAGAACATGTATTCACGCAGCTCCATTGTTTTTTTCTGGGTGAAGATCCGCTGCGTTGATGTCGATCCATTTTTAACGAAGAATTCGTCAAAATAAATCGATCGTTGTCGACACTAGTCAGAAGATGCGTCGATTGTGCAGTCACTGGTCACGAATGTTGTCTCCATGATGATGATTTTCCATAGTGTAGTCTCTGCTGCATTCGTGCCGTTCATTCCGCAACGATCCGACGATCCACGTTCTCCTGTCAGTTTTCTGCTTGCAGCTATTACTAGGTAGGTAATACTCTGGCAGATTTCTGACTCCGCAGATGATTTTTGCGCCATAGTCATCACCAAATGAAGGAATTCGAATCTGGTTGACCAGATGATGTCAGCGGTGTCGAAAGCGGCTAATTTCTCGTTCTGCGCGTCATTCTCTCTATGTGCAGAAGTCGCGCTCCATCTCGTCTGTTGAAGCAGTCGTTGATCCGACGGTCCAAAGTCCAAGCCATCTGAAGATATTCTTGAGACCCATTCAGCAGCTTTCGGTGCACGGGTCGACTCGTTTCCTGCAGCAATTTTCGGTCGTCGATGTCAGCTGACGATCGATCCAACGCTCCGAAGAAATTCGCGGCTAGAGAGGTTCCGTTCCCATTCGCGCTGAAACTCGAAGTCGCTCAGCAGGATTTCGTGTGCGGAGGAGAACTGAAGGCCGAACCTCTGAAGGACCTGGCGCACCAAGTGTGACTGAGTGAGGGTGATGGTGCGCGCTGCTCTGTCCCTGGAGATCTGCAAGCCAAGGTAGTGGCGCAGTTCTCCAAGGTCAGTGCAGGTGTGTCTCTTCAGCAGCTGCCTTCACCGAGGCCAGTGCGTCCCCGTCGGCAGTGGTGAAGACCAGGTCGTCTACGTAAACAAGGATGTAGAACGGAGTCTGGCCAGCACGAACAAAGAGCGAGGGGTCTGCGGAGGACGGAAAGAACTGCAGGTCAGCAAGGGTAGCACGCAGCGTAACGTGCCACTCACGGGGAGCCTGCCGTAGGCCGTAGACGGGGCATCGCAGGAGCCACTGAG